AGTGACTTGACATGTGGCCAAGTATGGTTTCCCATACTAGGAATTAGTGCTCTGCATTTAACCCATCCAAAGTGCACACACACAGCAGTGAACACACACACACCGTGAACACACACCCAGAGCAGTGGGCAGCCATTTTATGCTGCGGCGCCCGGGGAGCAGTTTGGGGGTTCGGTGCCTTGCTCAAGGGCACCTCAGTCGTGGTATTGAAGGTGGGAGAGAGCGCTGTATATTCACTCCCCCCACCTACAATCTCTGCCGGTACGAGACTCGAACCCGCAACCTTTGAGTTACGAGTCCAACTCTCTAACCATTAGGCCACAACTTCCCCCTGCAGTTTTTGCAGTTCACATTGGTATGCTGTATCCTTGGAGCATGTTGTGCAGACCAGCTTCCATGATTATTGGAGTATAGTCCATGTCTGAAGTCCAGATAGTGCCATCCATGCTAATGTGGCCAGTTAACCCCAGTTGTAGTTTAGTGCTGAGAGATGTGGCACGGGACACTGAGCACTGGTAGCTCTCTGATGTGTGGTGACAGTGGTTGGACGGCGAGGTTCATTATTCACGGCCTGACATTCCATTTAATCACATTTTTTTATGAAGCAGCGCAGGACTCAGTAAATCAGCCTGTGCTTGGAGCTCCTGAAGGCTGGAGGAGGGCGGGTTGGGTGTTTACGGATGGCTTTAATCAGGAGAATTTCTACAGTGACACCCCCTTCATAACACACACACGCACGTTTTGAGCACACACTCATGCTGGTACTCACGTTAAACGACATGAACGTAAATATTCACACACTTATTTTACCAGCAGACTGCATGCAAATACAGACTGTACTAGGGTGGCCATATGTGCCATTTATATGGGACACAATGCTAAAACACTGCTGGTCACTTTCAGAAGTTGTAGTGATTCTTTCTTTTCCAAGAAAGAATGTGAAACAAATTGGTTATATAATTTTCATTTTTAAATATTTTAAAATATAATTGAAATAGATTTTACACACTTTAAGCAATATCGTATCGCATATCGAATATCGCATTTTTTAACAAGGTATCGCATATCGCATTTTTCTTCAATATCTCACAGCCCTAATAGAAATCCTGGCAAGGGTGCGTCCCGTAAAAATGGCCCGTATGGTCACCCTAGACTGTACGCACACACACAAACAGAAAAACACTGAAGCACATACACACACTTCGAAGTCCAATCTGTCTTTCCTCCCTCTTCAGTGAACTCTGTAAACCACCACCTGTTCTCCTTCTCCAGTTTTGTATTTTTCTCTTCCCACTTCCTTCTCCAGTATCCCTACTCTCTTCCCAAAGGTGCACCTAATTGGAGAGGGAAGTGCTCCGTTTTCTAATTGAGAATGTAGATTGGAAGCTGCAGTACTCATCCATGTGGAAATGTCTCCTAATGGAGGCTGCCTCTGGACTCAGCACACTCTACCACTTCCTGCCCAGACCAGCCTTATTTGGGCAATCTTTAGTTTGTGTTGTGGTATCATGCTAGTGCATCTTTCTTACCCTCTTGGCCTGGAGGTGAACTTCACTGATGATCTGCTGTTTGGTCTGAAAATGGGAAAAGTCTTTGTGTATTTTATGTTTTGACAGTGTGAGTCTTTTCAGAGGCAAACTAGGAAGCAAGAACATTGCATCTTGAAAAATTGCATTCTATTTTAATGGAATAGGTCACCCCAAAATGTAACTTTTACTTTGTCATGTGCTGCATAATGATTTTTGGAAAAAGTTTACTTTGTGTTTCATGGTTTTGGAATTCCATGAGTATGTGTAAATAATGACAATTACATTTTTAAAGCTTTATTATATACACTACTGTATAGTGGTTAGATTTTTAAAAATATTTTTGAAAATCTCTCATGCTCAGTACAGCTGCATTTTTTTATGAAAAATGCAGTAAAAACGGCAATATTGTAAAATTATTACAATTTAAAATGTTTTCTGTTTTAGTAGGCTATATTTTATATATTTGTGGAAATCATATTTTTTTAAGGATTCTTTGATGGATGCTGTTCTATTTAACATTCTATTTGTAAAAAAGTGAACTATTAAAAATAAACTATAAAAAACTATTGCAATAAAAGTAAACTATTGCTATGTTCTGAATCCTAAACATGGTAAAACATGTGCAGTTGAAATAATATAAAATTAAATAAAAGAAAAACAAATACATTAACCTCCAAAATGCTCATTATTAGTAGGGTTGGGTACCGAAACCCGGTACCAAATATGGCACCGGTACCTATGTAACCGGTATGTACTAGAACCGAATACGAACGCAGATTTCGGTGCCTCATTTCGGTGCCATGCCTGAGCGATCGATTGAAATATTTGTCCTCTGGTTCTCAGAAACGGACGTAAGAAGCATCATCACTGGCACCGCACGTGAAAAATAATTTCCCGAATGAGAAAATCCAACACATCTTTGTAGTAACGAGAGTGTCCATGTTGTTTTCACATTCCGACTTAAAAGCACAACTCTGGAAACGAGAGCATTTGAGGAGTGTGAATGCAGTAATTTCACTTGCTCTGACTGCAGCAGGTAGCCTTCCGTTAACTAAGCTAAACATGCTTAAAATTAAAATGCCTAAAGCTAAACCTTCCCTTTATTCACATTTCTAAACCTGTTGTCCAACAAAAGAGAAAAACACATCTCTTTCATCTTCATTTGACCCTCTAACACTAGCACTCTCTATTCTAATGCTACTTCTAATTTTATCTGCTTGTTTTTTTTAATTAAAAAACTTGACCCTCTAACATTTGCACTATCTATTCTATTTCTGTTCTAATGGCCAATCCATCATTTTTGGGGGGATTTTTTGTTTATTTATTTTTTAATAAGTATCGGTTCAGGTATGAATGAAACAGACATCATGTGCTTATAGTGCTAATGGCCAATCCATCATTTTTGGGGGAATTTTAATTAATTTATTTTTTTAATAAATATCGGTTTAGGCACCAGAACCGTTTTAAAAGTATCGATTTGGCACCGGTATCGAAAAAAAAACAAACGATACCCAACCCTAATTATTAGTGGCCTTCTAAACGATAAAAAAATATTGATATATATATATATAGATATATATATTGTGTGTGTGTGACCCCTTTAATCAAGAAGTGTGCAATTTCTGCACCACTAGCTTAACGAAAAACGAACAAAAATAATTATAATAATTGTTTAGTTGATAATTGTTTACTTAAGATAATAGTTTTTTAAATCGGGTTTTCTAAACATTCTCCTGCCTGCCATTGGTTGGATAAACATCAACCACAACACTGGTTGAGCCACTTGCAACTTGCAGAGCATTTTTCTGATAGCACACTTTTTGAGGACTTTAAGCTGGAATAAGAAAATGTGTTTTCACAATGGCTCTCTGAGTATGAAGGGATTTTTGTAGTATTTCAAAACCGGTAGTATTCACCCGCCATCTACCTCCTGCCTACAGTTCAGCTCATTTTGTTTATTTCTAACAAAGATATGTAAAATGGTTTAGGCTGCAGCCCGTGACCGGTCGGTGTGTTCGGGCTGATGGAGATTAGATGACAGCTCTGGGATCTGACTGAATTGGCAAACTGACGTGAGCCCTGGAACATGAACGCTCAGAGCGATGCCTGTAGCTAAAGCTGCATCACACAGTTTAACATCCTGCTCTGCTGACACCCTGGAGGACTATATGGGTCATAGTGGTGCTGTGGGGAAATGCGAGCACATTCGTGCAGTTGTCGAGCACACCTGGCAGCTAGAGGCTCCGTTTTGCTCTAATACACCCACTAAATAAAATAGCCCCCAGGATGCATTCATACAGTATACTACAGATTACTCCACTCTGTTGCAGTTATTAGTACATTGCTAAAACAATGCATTGCCTTAATGAAGGTTATGAACATATGGTTATAAATGCATGCATGTGTTTCAGTATTATGATGCATGTTTCAATTACATATTGTGTGTGCATGCTTTAGTTTTTCCCAGGTAAAGGGGGAAAACATATTTTAAAAATCTAGTTTATAGTTCTCTTTGTATTCATGTTGGTTTCAAGTGATTTTGTGATGAGGTGTAAACAAATCAAGTAAACAGTAGTATATTTTTCTTACACCATGTTTAATATTTTTTAACAGATACATCTAAATATCATAAGTTTTTTTTTTATCATATCATGAGTTAGTAATTAATAAATATCATTAAGTTTTTCGTAAGAACTTTAAAAAAAATACTGAACTAAAAACGTTTTGACTTTGATGCACATTATTATTTATTATTAGAGAAAAGTATCTAAAAAACATACATTTATGTATGTGATTATATATCTCAAGAATTATATCATATATATTAAGGCCTAAATACTTAACATTTTTCTTAAGAATCTTGTCATCTTTTCTCAGTTTATTTATTTATTTAGTCAGTTGAGGCTTTTTTTTCTTCACTGTGATATCAGGGCAATTTTGTCATCATGATATTTCCCCAAAAAAGATTAAATTAAAATGTAATGCAGGAATATAAAACATGCTCATCGTAGAAGAGGAGTATTCAAATCACTGAATGTGTGAAGTGTATTTTTGAATCAATTAATAGATAGCATCATGTCATTGACCTGCATACAGCTCAAAGCAGAGTTGATAGCTTCCATCTGTAACTTCTGACCTGTGAAATAAGCTCTTTGAGCTGCTCTATTGATTGTGATTTTGATATGTCTGTAAAGCGTTTATTAGCTACCATTCTTATGATTGCTGCATGTGCCATGGTGTCTCTGGTGGCCCATGCTGCACAGAATTCCCTCACTTATCATCTCTGCTGTCCTAGTTAGCTTTTACACCACAGTAAACAGCTTTTAAAGGTTTTATTTTCTTTTAAAGCTGGAAATTGAGATTTAGCAGTCTGTTTGGCACTCGAGCGTTTGTAGCTGCCAAGCTCCAGTGTTTGGTTTGTATAACAATGCACTGGGTTAACATGAGCTTTGTTCCTTTTCTGCATTTTAGGTTGACGGGGTTTCAACTTCCCGCCCCTATAGTCAGCACAGGACCCAGACTCACACTATGGCTGCTGTCAGATTACGCCGTAAGTGGCCAGGGCTTCAAAGCCGTATATGAAGGTAAGAATCATATATTAATCTTCTATTTTTTTTGTCTCAAGTCAGTTCACTAATGTGAACATGTTCAGTCTCTGATCTTTCGAGCAAACCCTGTAATTATGTAAAGTGGACTCTGTGCTAGCATGTGTGGCGTAAAAGTAGAATTTTATATCGTTTTATAGGCTAATTGCATTAATATGCACGGTCAATTTAAAGACTGAGAATCCGTGCACAGATTTCTTCTGGCTTCTCGTCATATTTCTTTTGATGTGAGTGCTTTATGACCCAAAAAGCAGCAATATTAATGCTCGCTTCAGAGCAGCAGCAAGGAGAATTAATCTACGCTAACTAGATGAATTACCTAATTGAGACTGTAGACTGATGGCAGGTGAATCAAGTTCTCTGGGTTCATCTAGTTCAGCACAATACTAATGGAAAATAATGTTTGATTCAGATGGTTATCATGAACGTGGTCTATATGGACAAGCATTATGTTTTATATTTTCATATCAAGTGTTTATTTGCTTGTATCAATTTTGTCTGATGCTGCTTATGGTGGGTGGTCGATGTTCAATGTGTTTTTTATGCAAAATGTGATTGAATAGTTCCAGTTTATAGATGGATGTCTAGAGTAGGGCTGCATGTTTTTTTTTTTTTTTTGGTGGAATCTAATTGCAAACCTTCTCATAAAAATTGTGGTTTTAAAATGTGTTTCTCCGGGTTCTCTCTGCTGTGTTAGTAGAACTGCACAATTTTGTTGTACGTGTTTCTATTATTATTGATTATATATCAATATGACAATATTTCCAGTTATCCTTCTGCTATCCAATTAATAACTATCCATTTATTAAAAATGTCATTAAAGTCATTCAGCTGACAGAAACAACAAGAACAATAATAATAAGTTCTGGCAGGGTCTGAAATTGAGTTACAGGTTTTGCGTGACTGATTGTACAATTTCCTTGCTACTGCTTTATGTTGTAACAAACAAACATAACGAGCTGCTAGAGCAGGGGAAGAGGACAGGAGCGTCCAGATCCCTGAGAGATGACCTACACCAGTATGGACAAGCCTTATCTCATCCATACGGTTCAGACTAATTCAGTCTGGCACCATAATTATGTGCTACTTCTTGTCACATGACCTTCTGCGGGTCTGCTGAAACGCTGTACAGAATTAAAGAGTGATGTACTGTATGTATCACATGCCCTGACTTTCAGTAAAGACAGCAGAATAATGAGAAGCCCAGAACTCTTATCAATAGCCGATGGCTGAATAGTGATTTCCTTTCTGACTGTCCTTCACAGGAGTGTGAAGCCATGCTCATCAAGAAGAGCATCAGCATACCCAATCAACAATTTGTTTTATGTTATAATTATACTCTTTCCTGTACAGTATGGAATTGTAATGAAGAGGTTTACACTTTATTTATGGCTCTCGGGGAACTGACTTGGCAGCTAAGCGCTCTTGGTGATCATGTGACCCAAGCTAGTTTGAGTCTGGCTTGTAGCATTTCCTGAACATTTCTTCTTCTTCTTCTTCTCACCATTATTTCCCTGTGATTCCTTCTGAGTGTATACAATAAATGAAGAGGTTTACACTTTATTTATGGCTCTCGGGGAACTGACTTGGCAGCTAAGCGCTCTTGGTGATCATGTGACCCAAGCTAGTTTGAGTCTGGCTTGTAGCATTTCCTGAACATTTCTTCTTCTTCTTCTTCTCACCATTATTTCCCTGTGATTCCTTCTGAGTGTATAAAATATTTATTTATTAAACAAAACAAAAAAAATCAATGCTTTATGTAAAAAATTATGGACAGTGTGGCAGTCATTATTCCAAAATAAATCCCTGGATGCCATGGATGGATTTTGCCATGATGACTGGCTAACTGCATTATCCATCTTATTATTTAAGTACTGAAATAAATAAATAGATTATAAATTATTGATCTTTATACGTTATTTTATTAGGGCATTCTTGTAGCTCAAATGCACCTTAAATCCATTTGGATAAAAGCATCTACCAAATGCGTAAATGTAAATCAGTTGAGCAGAAATAGATGGAAAGTGATACAACAGATATTAAATCAGTTGCCTGGTACAACAAGCCCTTTAATGTATTCATTTATTTTTTATTTTTTTCATTTTTATTATATATTCTCACACAGGTTGTTGCACTTTTCCATGGACGCCCCATTTCCTCAGAGGAAGGTGTCTAAATGAGCTCAGTATGTTTATGTTTTTGTGTATACTAGGGTCTAAGTGTGAGATTCTGAGAAAAAAAAGAAAATACTAATTTCAGCTGCGCTCTCTGCTCTTTTTAAAGCAGTGGAGTTGAGGGGGAAGGATAATGGTTATAAATGAGGGCTCTGCATCTTCATTTTGCATCTGAATTCTTCCTCTTTATCCTCTCGGAAAAAAAAAGCCCCCCGGCGTGATGGTGAAACATTAGGGGCATTATGAGCAGTGCTATCAATTAACGCTCTCAATCAAGCCCCAGTGCAGCTGCCACTCTCCGTTAAGGGAGCCACCCGTTGCACAAGCCCTGCGTTTTCTTCTCTGTTAGCTCTGGCGAGAACTCATATTGAACTAAAGCAAGAGCAATCTAGCTCTGTAATGAAAGTCTGTATGACAGAGAGAAACAATCTCAATCACAGCTGGCTGAACAGATGACACCAAATTAAAAAAGAGGAGTAAAAAACCTGAACGAACCACTTGTGGTTTATTTAATATGTTTCATATGTGGGCTTGAAATGTTTATATGTACATGTTGTTATTGTTAATGGACATTATACAGTAGAGCTGGGCGATATATCGAGTTTGTACGATATATTGGTATAAATTTTATAAACGATATGATATGAGGCAATACCGCCTATATCGATAAACAGTAGTTTGATACGAGCGCATCGATACAGTAGAGCTGGGCGATATATCGAGTTTGTACGATATATTGGTATAAATTTTATAAACGATATGATATGAGGTAACAGTAGTTTGATACGAGCGCATCTGAAAAATAGTAGAGGACACAGAGTGAGCTGCTGCAGGGAAAGTGCATAATCCAATTTGTATAACATGAGACATGCTTATAATAACGGCTTTAAAATAACTCGTAAGAAATAGTTTAAAGCGGCTCGCCCCGACAGATGATCTGACAGACTCATGTGCTGCTGACAGACACTACTTGTGCTGTTTATTGTGTTTGAGATGTGCTGTTTTCCTCAGTGCATAACTTACATTTCACAGGCATATTCTCCATCTTTAAATGTTGGAAATTCATATAAATATTTCCATTTTGCTGTCAGGAGCGCATAGGCCTTCTGCATGTGATTCTCCGCTAAACTTCACAGACCTCTCTGAACCTGTGCCGCCCAGACAGAGCGCAATAGAATAGGAGCACAGTGATTCTCACTAAAATATACATTTTGCTAAAATATTTGTAGTTGGACAATAAATGTGCTATGTGTATAATTTTAAACCTGCAAGTAAGTGTATTTTATGATAGTAACTGTACAGTGACTGTTGTATTGGGGTAATCAAAATATAATGCAATTAATCTGTGCTTTTGTTTTTTATCTTTAGTTTAGTGAATTTAACTACATCTTTAAAAAACATTATTTTAGTTTTTAGATAGTAATGTTACAATGTAATGTGATTTTAGCCCCTTTTTTGCACATAATAGCCCATGGCCTACATGGTTACTTTCACCATATTTGTTTTTATTGTCTTTAATATAAACATTGTTTCATTGTTTCATTTTCAAGCAAGCAAGTTAGTTTTTTCCAAATCCAAACAGAAAAATGTAGCAAATATCGAGAAAAATATAGAGATATGATTGTATTTGTATATTTTATTTTCTTATTTCCCACCATAACATCATTTCAACCAAGCGTCTAATGTTATCAAGTATATTCAAAATATTTTCCACCATTTTTATTAAATTAATGCAAGGATGAATATATTTATTTTGATAATTTTAGTAATATGCATAAACATAACAGTTTATAGTGATATACAGCAATATTTACATATTTACAAAAGCAGTTAGTGACTTGAATGACTGACTTTGAATGTTTTTGAGTGATGATATCAGTGAATAATTAAATCAGAGTGGATAGTTTGAACTAATTCATGGAGGTTAATTTTGTCTTAAAATCATTGCGATATGTACAGTGTTGTTGTTATTACCAGCAAAATTATCACAAATAAATACATTTTTGTTAACAAGTGAAATGGACTCAAACAACTGAGCAAGTATTTCATCTCAGCATGAGTTTGATCGCATCTCTATAATACTTTGTTTTTATGTGTTTCAGTAGCAAGATTTATATCTGACTTAAGAGGCTTCCAGGAATACGAATGGTCTGTTTTAACCCAATTAACTGGAACGATATATAAGAGAACAAAGGAAAAAAATGTTAAGATAAGATACAGACATGAAAGTGTAGTATAAAATGTACTGCCGAAAAAAGAAGCATGACCGGAATTATGGTCATTTTTTTTTCTGTTGCTTGCAAGTTTGGAACTTTTACTTATGAGTCTGTCACAAACCATTGATTCAAGCAACCTTGGAATAATTCTGAAGTTTTGCTTTAGATTTTTAGATTAAACGGCAAAATCTTTAATCAGCTTTAATCAGCATTGCCACTAACACAAATGTTTAATCAGCAGTGCAGTTTACAATGACCATTATTGTAGCTTTCTTAAAGCTGAACATTGCAGAGGTAAGCAGCGGTTTGTTTTGAGAGAGGTGTTTTGGGAGCAATTTAGTGCCCTGTTCTTTCGTTTGGGCCACAGCCAAGCAACTCCACGTAATTTAATGTTTAGCACGTCACACCACTAATTAATAGCATTATTCTGAAAGTCACTGTGAATAGACCACTTAACTAAAACGCATCACTATGATGAATGTAGTCACCAGCTTTCTCTGCCGGAACTGATAAAGAAACAGGCTTGTGCTTTAAATCCTGTGAACATACAGAGAAACACATTTCACTGTGATATACACCTGTGCACAGA